ATCGGTGGCAACGACGACGACATTGAGCGCGGTGCTGCCGGCGGCGTATCGACGGTCGCTGCGGCTATCGCTGCGACGGCTTAGACAGATGAAGGTCGAGGTCGGCAGCAGGGTCCCCCCGTTGTAATCTCCCCTTCTTCTTTCAAGCGGGTAGCATGCGGACGCGCTAACTCACCTCACTCTGTCGTCTATAGCATTGATATAGTCGCTAACGGCAGACAGCGCGCGCTGTATAGCAACGGCTGCTGGCGCCCCTGTGTTGTTGATGACAACGGCGTTGGTTTTGTCAGCCCTTGATACGACGCAGTATGTGTTATTACTGCAAACGTACCAAGATCAAACCAGCTGATTATGATGGTCACTGTAGTACTGTCTACCAACTAGCTTGCCTTACAATGCAATGAATGTGCGTTGGAGAGCATGAGCTAGCCACCATACGGGTCGCTGTGTCGTTTACAGTAATAAAGATATCCACAGAGCCCAGCACTTGTAGCTAAAACTTGTAGAACATCTTACAAGTGAAGCCGGATCCTGTGCGATACGAAACCCAACAATGGCAATTCGAAAATGAATCAGCGCCAATTAGACTTGTAGCTTCGCTGTTATCGGCACGCCTACGGCCAGACAGAGTAAGTGCTTACGTTGCGGCAGCATACCCCGCTACACCACCTCCTGCAATAGCAATAGCCCATATATTTCGAACTAAACGCGAAACGGAATCAATATAAGGAATAGTTTCGAAACTAGTGCCACAGCAGACGCCAATTAGCATAATCATTGTCATCATTTAGGTCGTCAGTGTTTCGGCTAACCTGGCTGGCATTGTTGCTTTCCCGCCGTGTTGTCTACTCATATACAAGCATCTTTCTTTAGCAATTCTGGCGCCACCACCGCGAAGATCGGCAATTTTCCAATCGCTGTTCCCACTAATATTGCCGCTGGCGCTATCATTCAAAATAAGAAAGGTTACTTTCACTCGTGCACCCGCAGTTAGTAGACTGCCGGTAGCGTCAAACGATTGGTGAATGAGATACGTTGTTGGCTCTGCGTCGAATTAATTCTGTCGGTGATGTCGTTGTGTACCTCCGCCTTCACTTGGCAACAGTAGTCATTTTGCAGGCACAAAATATAGCGACTGCATCGGTTGAGGCCGCGGTAGCGGCGCCTGCAAAGGCGGCCAGTCGCGCCATTGCTACCAAATCGAACGCTGGCATGTTCCAATCTGCTGTTATGTTGTTACTGCAATAATAATGTACATATACACAGTATGTATATATACATATTAAGACACTGTGACATTGACCGGGTCGGTGTATGGGACGATACTAACTAGAAAAGTCAATTCTCCGAATGGATAAGTACTGCATACGACAGTCGTGGTAATGAACGTAACCGTATTATGCCAATGTCCATAGGACCGGACGTTGCTGTCTAGCAACTAATTGCTAGCTGTCTAGTAGTTAATTGCAACAAAGTGACCCAGTATAGTATGTGCTCGACTGTGATTATGATAGGGTCTGATTGGGAACATCTTCAAAAATTAGATAACGGCAAAAAAGTGAACATTAATCATTTCATGCTAGCACAATAAGCACTGACCGAAACGAATATCGTCAAACATGTATGTACAACGTATTCAATAACCCGTAGTGCAAGCAAACACCGCCGAAAATGTGCGACATGTATAGCCACATAACCTCAAACAAAGTACTGTATTAGTTGCGAAAGTGTGTGCGAGTTTTCAGTGCGTGGATACATGCGTCATGATCGGACATATTGGTTTGAAATATGGTTATTGAGTAATGCGTGATTCGGATCACATACATGTCCAGTCGATACCAACTAAGATCCTTAAAATGTCTATATACGTAATTCATCGACTCTGTCAGTACTAACGTTCTGTTATGTGCTCGAACTTCGCTGTGGCTGTCTTTGTTGCAGAGTTCGATGGAACGACGGTGTTGTGCCGCGTCTGCGGGGACAAGGCATCGGGTTTTCATTATGGAGTGCATTCGTGCGAAGGATGTAAGGTACGTAGCTCGGTAATGACTCCTACATCTTCAGTAAGTGCATACATGCTTATGTATACTTAGTCATCAATATGTATTGTCTTGGGTTTTTTTTTCTGAATCTGTGTCTGTAATACGTTATCGCTCGATTGTAGTATGTACACGTGGGACAGAAACAGAAATTCATCGAACCTTATCGCTACTGCGACGGAGTCGCTATGAGTCCGACTAACCCTCTGTTTTCTTGGTTGCTCCGGAGTGCTCGTTTCTCTATCTCTGTCGATGCCTTGTCGCCGTCATTGTTCCCTTTAGGTGCATCGTGGGCCAACCATCTCAGAACATTGTCCTCCGTCTTCGTCGTCGTCGTCTTCTGCGTTTTCATCTGCTACTTTTCGTCCGCATTTGAAACGCTTTAAGGTGCTCCGCAGCATCATCACCATCATCTTCCTATGACTATCGTTTGACTGTGGCGGTTGCTTCTGTAGCGTTCATTTTTATTCAAATTGCGACCATCGCCTCGATCAACAGAGCAGCCATCGACGGCTGTATTTCGCTCTCTCACAGCTTCATCCTGCCACCCCCTTTTCTCCTCTGCCACAATTTTGCTCTTTGCAAGTCTTCGTTTGAGTGCAAACCCTTCTTCACGGATGGCCTAAGAAACCCTGCCATAAACGAATACGACTCACCGGCGGCAGAAAGACGGGGCTTCAGGGCTCAGTTTCTTCGCCATTTTCGTTCTTTATATGCATGCCTGTGTGTGATCATCGAGACCGCGTGACAGGCTGATCGACCGATCGCCGACGGGAAAGCGAGCCGACTGACCCCTTTCTTCTAGCTTCGTAGACGAAGTCCTTCCGCTACAAGTAGTGGCTCACTAGTTGATACTGAAGGAATCATGATGAAGCCAGCAAGCAACCAATGTCCTCTTAGTGGGACAGTGGGGTATTGAACCCGGCTCTTTGGTTATTCACTGCTTCGCAAGTTCGACCTCGGTGGTTTGCGATCTTTCTTTCGAAGGTAACGTGAACTTCAATGAGTCTGTTGGCGGGAGTGGAGATAGCTTATGCGGCAGTAGTTGTTGTCACCAGCGGGGTAGCTCAACTTCGTGCTCCTCTTTTGTATAGGCAACTAATAGAAGGCTATAGTCGAGTTCCTTGTAGCCGTGTTCACGTGAGTATATAGATCTCCCACACACTCTCTTTTCTGGCTGTATCTTACTCAGAATTTTGCGAAGGGTGAATGGCCAGCTTGGCATTCGCATTCATTTCCGGATGCTCCGGTATTCGACCTCCTCTCGCCTCGCAAAGACCTAGAGGACTTTTGCTGACTCCCGCAGCACCCCTACCAAAACTGTTCTTCTACAAGTCATTATCCATCAGTCGTAAGCTAGTGAACTAGGTCGATCATATAGGTTCGTTGGTTCTTTCGCTCAATTGAATAGTATATATTTTGGCTCAATTATTTGACTGCCGCTTATGCAGCCGTCATCGCCGTTGCCATCGTCGTCCTCACGACCGCGCACGATTAGTTGTACTTTCTATGAATGTGTTCGGGCATTTGCGAGGCCATTTTCCGCCGATCACGGAGCGGCGATACTCTTGCATCGCCCGCCGCTACACAAGCTGGCGAGGTTTGCCAGCAGATGTGTTCCCTACTGGTAATACAATTAAAGGTTTGTTTACAAATCTTGCCAGTGTGTCTATTTCACTACTAGCTTGTCTCGCGAACTAAGACGTCACTGGCTAAACAAGCTCAAGGACCTATGGCGTCCATAGCTTACTGCTGGTTCAATTTTAGGACATTAAGCCCTGCTGGCCGTCATACTCGTTAAGCAGCATTTTGAGATGCCTTTCAAAGAGCGTCCCAGCCTAAGATATTTGCAGAAACATCGAGTATAATCGTATTATATCTACATTGATGCCTTCAGCCTCGGGCCGATGGAGGCCAGTTTATCGCCATGTGGTGCGCTCACAGTAGACCGTTCGCTGTACAGTCACCATCACCGTCAACGACTCTAAGAGACTGGCGATGCAAGCGCCATCACTGCCCTCGCGGCTGTGAACTGAACTAAAATCGATCTCGGAATGGCTCTGTTTGGCCTAGTTTCACCGTCCCTCTCCTTCAGGGCCTTGTAGGTGAGCCCTGTGGGGAAAAACAGGGTAGACCAGGGCTGGCCTCCCCCAAGCAGCTGGGCATTTGTAGAGGATTGTTGGCTGCGGAGTCGGCGCAGATTCACGAAGATGCCTGGTAGGACATATAGAGGGGTTTCGCTTGAGAAGTTACCCCGTCAGTTCAGTCCATCTGAGTGGGGGATGAAGACGTGGGTCGGTGATACTATTTCCCGAGGCCAGGCATTCGGGGCCCTTGTAGTATCGAATAGAGAGGCGAGCAGCAGCAGCAGCTGAGGCGAGAGGGAAAGCGTATGGTTTGCCTCCTCCGACCCTCGACCCAGATGGTCCTCGACTGGAGCGCGGAAAGGTTGTTCCTCTGGTCTTTTCCAAAAGCTCTTTTTGTTTTGTGGTAGCAGTCCTTGGACAGCAGCTGCTTCGAGCGGCGCGCGCTCCTTATTAAATGCAGTCACTTTACAGCGCAATGAAACGAGAACGGCCAAAGATTTTTTTGTGAACTTTGGCGCATAAGTAGATCTTTTTACCAGTATGTTTCCAGTGTAAAAGATTTCGGCATCTTACCTTGTTCACTGTACTTTAAGTTCTCAAGAAGGAAGGGTTTAATTTAACAAATATATATATATATACTATGTACTCCAGATTTGTTTTTACGTGTGCGTTCATGGGAATAATACATTGTGCAATTTTTTCGGCAGGGATTTTTCCGGCGTTCCATCCAACAAAAAATTCAATATCGGCCATGTACAAAGAACCAGCAGTGCGCCATTCTTAGGATTAACCGAAATCGTTGTCAGTATTGCCGCCTGAAGAAGTGTATCGCCGTTGGTATGTCCCGAGATGGTAAGTTGCAATACTCGTATAGTACATTCTTTGGGTATCTGCTTAGTTTTCTGTAGAATTTCGTTTCACTGCAAATTAAAATGCATGCTTGTAATCATTACATCACTTCAGTCCGGTGATAATAGTTCTGCGTTGACCTTTCTACGCTGCCTGCCTGTAGCACGTAGGTGTGTTAGATAGAGGGGAGGGGGGTTCGTAGCACGGTAGGCGGCTACACCATAGGCTCCCATCTGCTCTAGCACCATCGCTTGATCCGGGGGACGGTCGCCTGCTTGCCTGGTTTTGTCCATTTTTCCTGGTGTTTCAGTTTCAGTAGTAGTAGCAGCGGATGCAGATGGAATAAACGACAACGATAAGTACGGCACGGCCGTGCGGGCATACGGGCGAACGAACAGCCGATAGTGAACAGTATTCTTTCGTTCTAGTCGTGGCTCGGTGTTGTTGGCGAGTGAACGCTCGTCAATTCGAACACACAGAGGGCGCTGGATTTTACCCCTCGTTTTTGTCGTTTAGTTTATGTAGGAGGAGCATTGAGGGCGCCACCAGGACTAATCCCTCCATAGGGAGTGGAGAGCGGAGCACGCAATCACATTACCTCGATTCGAGTTGCCCGCCATAGTCGCCAGGCGGCGCCACCATCGAAGGTCGGAGAACCACCTGACTTAGATCTAGGTCGTGGTTGGTTTTCTTCTTTGAAGTTCAAGGTCAGCGCCGGTCGCGGCTGCTATGGCGGCGCTGTGAGCGCAATGAGTACGGCCCGCGGCGGCAAACAACGACAGCAAATGCTGCGACGACGGCAAGCAGGCACACAGACACACGCTCGCACACACCCAAACACATACACTCAGAGAGAGAAAGTGCGCGCGTCGCACTAATGCCGTTGCGGCGAAGGTTGTTCTGCTGTTGCCGACGACGTTGCCATCACTTAAACTAGAATTCACCAGAAGCAGCAGCAGCATACAACCGCTGCTGCTGCGGCCGCCGCTAGTGACCGCGTTGAGCGGAACGCTGCTGTGTATCAAACCGGTAGAGGGAGGGAGTGGAGGAGTGCTGTCTGCCCGTGCATAGATAGAGTGGGTTTAGTTAGCCAGCAGGCTCCGACAGAGGAGACGACACGACGCAGTCAGGGAGGGTTGAGAAAAAGAGCTAGAGAGATGTGTGTGATGGTGTGGCGGCCGGGCTGTGTACTCTCGACGATGTGCTCCGCTCATGTCTAAGGTCTCTCACCACCAGAGTACACCCAGAGTCAGTCGGTCGACCAAGTCAGCGAGCTATCAAGCAAATAGTCAGTCACTATCCAGATCTCGTCGAGTGCACGTCGCTCTAAGTACGACTCTTTGTCGATTCGTGGTTGATGTCCCGGTTAAAGTTTCGCTTACGGTTAATAATCGACGACTTTAACTCTATATTTTACTGCGTTATTAGGCTTATACTACCGAAGCTCATAGGCGTTAGCTGCTGCTACTGCTACTAGTAACGAGCGTGAACTCTAGCGGTGCTTGTAGAACAACAAGCATCAGCCAAGGAGTCGAAGCTCTGTTGAGCGGCACGGCAAAATCGTTAGATCCATGGACAACGGTGGGGCTGTGTTGCGGTGTGTGCTGCGTCTGTGTTTGCATCTGTTCGCAAGGACGATAGGCCTAATATAAGAAGAGAGCCTTAGCATATACAATATATAGCTGAGAGAAGGGAGAGACGTAGGCAATAATGAGCTTCTTGAAGCGGCATCGTTCATTATAACAGTGCTGTGTATTCTTGCTGTTCGTGCTGGTGCCTGCACGCGGCCTTACGTCACGCTGCCGTCGCGAGAGCAGCTGTTGCTGCTGCTGCTGCTGTCGTCGCTGCTTTCTTTTATCATAACCAGCAAGAGCAGGATAGAGAAGGGACTAGGAAGGCGGAAGGTAGCGCATTGGCGTTCGTTCGTTGTCTCTCGGCCCGTGAACTTGAACTGCGTGCACCTTGAAGCGAATCAAGGGATACTTACAGAGTTGATTGAGCGGCAGCAGCGAAAGACAGCGAACGTCGTCTGTCTGTCTGTGTAATCACAAACCCCGACATAGGATCTTTGCAACAAGTGATAGATCGTTGCTATTTTATATTATCTCTATATATTTTTGTAAATTCTTTTGTAATTCATCTTCTATCTATGCATTATCCAAGGACTAAGTGTTTAACGATTAACGAGGTTTTGCGGTGAACGACCTCGTCTAATCTCATATAAACAATTGCAATCATCACAAGAGTGCGTGTTCAGTGTCGCGAGAAAAGTGCCGACCCAATACCGGGTAAGCAAGCCCAGCCATGCAATCGGCACAGCCGGCCCCGGGCTCGAACCCCCACCATGGATTACTTTACTACACATTGTGCGCCGGTAGTAGTGCGATTATGAAGCATCGAAATAATCTGGCAGCGGTTAGCAACGCCATTCACAAGAGCCCTCGTACGTTTTTCGATAGTGGTAATGTCTATAATTCAGCATATTCTTGTAGCAATTACTAGCAATAGTGAAAATGAGAGTTCCGGCTCTGTTTGCCACTATTACAGTGCTCTATTGATAAGAGCAATCGTTAGTTTTGAATTGCTTCGCTCAGTCGCCCCTTCGGCGCGGTGAACAAGCAACAAGTGTGCGGTAGTATAGCAGGCCGGCATAATGTAGTACTACATAAACATGTAGTAAATATAGTGACTAAGGCAGCAGCATGGAATGAACCAAAGCTGACCATTGTAGAGAAGGCTAACCTTCTGTATACTTGTCGTTATCTATGTTGCAGCTGTACGTTTTGGCCGAGTGCCGAAACGCGAGAAAGCAAAGATCCTCGCCGCAATGCAGAAGGTCAATGCTAACTCACAGGAGAAGCAGCTGTGTGCCGAACTTGAAGATGAGATGCGACTGTTCGAGACAATCGTACGCGCTCACGAGGAGACGTGCGACTTTACCGCTGAAAAGGTAGCACCGATGATCGAGCGCGCTCGAGCCAATCCCGTCATCGCCCGTTGTCCCTCTGGCCTTGTAAGTATCATCAATTTCAAGCTACGCGTAAATAACTGTGCATTTAGCCGGTCTTCCACCACCAAAGCATCGAATATAGCTTAAGACGGTAATAATAGGAATATACTAGAAGAGATTAGAATAATCCGATCAAGAGTTCAGCTGACTGAACTTTATTTCTGGCATTACCGAATCAGTCAGTCATTCTTGATAGGCGGTGATAGTAACGATAGTGAGCATTGTGTATAAGCGTCATCATCGTTTCTCGTTCGGTGTAGTTGTCCGGCATCTTTCTTTGTTCTCTCTTAGCGACTGGCTATGTCTGTGTGCGCACGAACAATCTGCGACGTTTGCTTAAAGCCCCCTCCTCCGTTTCCTTGATGCCGCTACGGCACAGTTATCGTAGTCTAGTGATAATAGACGCAAAAGTAGTTTGTCCTATTATTAGTTGTAGTTGTCGTAGTAATAGTAAATGGGCAAGTAGCGAGAAGTGAAGAGTGCACACTTTACCTCAGCGAGGGCTCCCAACGCTAACCGAAAGCGGTCGGTCGTACGCATCGCACAAGATGTCCCTCTTTCCCCCGCTAGCTTTGTCGGCCTTGGTTACCACTATTACACCGACCGACAAACACGTTATGTAATGTCGTTGTATCGCGAGAGCACGCACTTATTGGCATAGCGTAGTGGCAGCCGCAAGGACAGCAAGCAATGGCTGTAGGAACGGCGGCCGCGTTGTGAAAACGTGTTGGACCTGCAACGATACGTTCCGACTGCGGACGGCCGCTACTGACGCTGCTGTCTGGAGGCTGATACATATCAATTGCCATACTAGTACGTATAGCGCAGTAATAGCAGTAGAAGAAGCGATATGATTATTCGTGTTGTTACCGTATGACTATTGCATATGTCGCACCGGCACGGTGGGGACATTGCTCTAGTACTATTAATGACAAACAACAGCAACGACAAATAACAAGGTACGATAAAGAGTAAATGTACTGGACCGAGCTTGGTGACGCTTGCAGCGGTAATGGCGGTGGCATTGAGCAATCATCGCTCGTGCGGCGACCTTCGACGCGGCTCATTCGCTGCTGATTAGCCATCATCACCACCAGTTGAAAAGAAGAACGAAAACGACGTCGTTGAGGAATAAGGAGAATGACTAAATAACGATGCCTTCTACGGTTTCCAAGAAAGCTATGACGGATTTGTTACCGACGTAGATGTTCGTCATTTAAAAAAAAAACGAAAATGTCTCAAGCGCCACAGATGACCGACCGTCTTTTGTACAACATTAGTACTGACACCGATGAGATTCTGCATAGAAACGGCCCCACATGCTGCTTTCGGCACGGTGCTTTTGCTCCGCTCTGCAAGCAGGACGCCATTATGTGTGTAGTGGTGCATTAGCGTTGATCATTATGACGAGATACTGTTTGAAACACAAGTACTATTGACTATCCTGTATTGCTCTCTTTGCTCCATGTTCTTGTACACATCTAGTGAAAAATTATCGGAAACTGAGTTAGCTATTGCTAGTACCGCTGCCACCGTCGCCGTTGCCGCTGAGGTTCAAGGTCACTTTGTTTACAGAGGAATCGTGGGTTTGTGTGTGCGTCAGTGTGTGCATATCTGTCTGTGAGTGTGTGACTGTAAGCAGTGCCATGGGCGTGTTGCACTTGCAGCTGGGTAAGCTGCTGTTGTTGTTGATTTCTCTGGTTGGCTTCTTGCCGTTTGCTGTTAGCCGCTTGTTCACTCACCTGTCGCTACCGCCAAGTTAGAAAAACAGTCGATAACGGTAAAAGTTTATAGATCTATGAGGAGTAATAGTGCAATGGTATTGTACGCAGATAGGTAGGAAACGCAGCAGTAAACAAGCATCGGTCGTGACGTCCAAGCCAACCTTACTGGCAGCCTATGAAGGTGCTATAGCAGCCGCAGTCGGATGCAATCACACGTGAAGCTGTTTATTAATCTCGCTGGCAGTGCAGAAGAAGCTGAGGTAAAAAGACAATCGTCAGCTTTAGAAACAGATACCGGCCATCAGAGGACCAAAGTGGGCGTCAAAGGCGAAATTCAGGGGACTAAGACGTTGGACGTTAGGCGGAGGGGCGCGTCTCAGCAATGGTAGTTATGAACCTATTCATGGGTTATACAGAAGTATAGGGGCTGGTGGCGCTATGGATGAACTTTATTGGGGAGGCCGTTGGTCAAGGTCGCTCCTCGTGATGGGACTGGCTTGTGATTGGTCATCGTGGTCGTCCTAGTAGAGTGCAAGTAGCATATTGGGCGCAGCTGCAGAACTCTCTCGCCCCTCTCTCAAGGTCACCACAATCACAGCTGCTCCTCCGCCGTCAACTCCCGCGCCTAGCCCTCCCCCCATCTTCCAATACCTCCCCAGACAACCTCTGGAGCTGCCCCTTTCGGATCCCATCATCGTATCGCTCCTCGTTCTACTACAGTAAAACTTCTTTGTCCGCTCGTTAGGTCTCATCTAAAGTCGGTTAGGCTATATACAGCTATACTATATAGTAGGAACAATATAAATAGTATAGGCGATAGGATGGCAGCACGGGCAGCGCAGTTTACTCACAGTAGCACCAGACACGGACGGAGAGAAATGGATGGATGATGATGGACGCACAGACAGCCAGACAAATAGGAATGTAGATAGATCGTGAATGATATCTGTTGTGTAACAAGTAGGCTAAACTTAGTGTACGGTTGTACGAGGAAAAGAGCACTAAAAGGAAGCACCAAAGCAATTCATTATGAGCAAAGCCAGCAGGAAATGACGAAAAGAAAAACAAATAAAGAAGCAGTAGCATGTGTTGTCCTCTAGAGACTATATATGCATGGAAGTTCTAGAGTTTGAGTAGACAACCAATCAGTATGTTCAATGTCTCCATATAATACTTACTTTTTTTTCCAGGCATGTCCACTCAACCCCCAAAGCCATGATGGGACGACGCGTTTCATGGAGGATTTCTCCGAGCGATTTTCGCCGGCTATTCGTGGAGTCGTCGAGTTCGCCAAGCGCATTCCGGGTTTCTCGCTGCTCGCCCAAGAGGACCAGGTCACGCTGCTTAAGGCCGGCGTATTCGAAGTGTTGCTTGTAAGGTTAGCCCGTTTATTCGATTCAGCAACCAATCAGATGATCACTCTTAACGGTCAGGTCCTTCGGAGGGACTCGCTTCATTCGTCATCAAACGCGCGTTTTCTTTTAGACTCAATGTTCGACTTCGCCGATCGTATGAATGCTGTTGGCCTATCAGACGCTCAGATTGCCATCTTCACCGCGACCGTCATTATTGCTGCCGGTAGGTTATTATGTTATTATGAATTAAATTGCCAGTTATTTTACACCTTTATGTTTATTAAGACAATTACTCATCAACAACAGCGATAGCAGGGAGCGCTACAAGCACTCAGTTTGTTGTGTAGGGTTCCACACAAGACCATCTAATCTATTCATTCTTCCGTCAAATTGTTCATAGTTATTGTTTCATTTGTTTCTTCTCGATTCCCATTCCCCTCTCATTTTCATCGCCCATGTAGTTACGGCAGTAACAGTAGCAGTACTATAGTCAATATTCTGTGCACTGAACTCGCCTCGACTGAGAGTGCTGACCCTAATGGTGTGCATGGTCGTCGCCACTGTCGCTTGTCACAGACGATGAGAGGACAGGAGCGCAATAAGCAAAGAGTTTTCTCCGCTTTAGCCGTCAAGGCCTCGATATTGGCCTCCTTTATGCCAGTGCCATTAATGCTAGAAATCGAGTAATGTCTAGCTGCTTCCTCCATGAGAGAGTCTGTACGTGTATGAACGTCGCTGAATGCCTGTGGAGACTGCCATGTGATTGACGGTGTCACCGAAAAAGTGGTGGCCGGTCGGCTTTGCTTAGTAGCGGCTCTATCAATCAGGGCTTACGGGCCAACCAAGCAGGCAGGCAGGCAGGCAGGCAAGCAAAGGAACAGAGAACCTTCTGCTACTGGAGAGGGTGTTAGGACCTTGACCGCGTTTTGCGCGGTTCGCTCACCGACGACTCCGCAATAGCGCGCCACACTCAAAATATGTTCTGTGTGTGTGTTCGTCAAGCTATCTGGCTACTGCTTGGTTTCTAGAGACTCGTTGTCAGAAGCATGCATAGTTAGAAACGGCCATCACATTTTACTATTATTATACTTGCTCTTCTGCTGTGCTATACGATCGTCGTTACCTTGACGTATACTTCTTGACGCTTGCAGATCGTCCTGGGCTAAGGAACGCCGAGCTTGTGCATAAAATTCAACGTCGCCTAATGGACGTACTACAGAAGGCAGTGTGCCCGACGTCGGAGGATACCCATGTGTATGCCGAGCTAATGAAGAAGATTCCAGATCTGCGCACGCTCAATACTTTGCACTCCGAGAAGTTGCTCGCGTACAAAATGGAGCCACAGTCGACAACGCCGCCATACACCGCGGTGTCGTCGCCCATCGAACCCTGGACGGGCGTCCATCCTGCGCCGCCTGCGCCGGTCGCCCATGAGCGTAACTCATGGTCACCAATTGCGTCACCACATTCATCGACATCAACCTCATCACTGGACAGCGCCCTGGCTTGTCCATCTAAAAGCCCAACCCGTAGCAGTTCATTCAGCTCGTCTACTAGTAGTTCATCTTCGGCTGGCGAGTTAACGATGGTTGTCGATAGCAGTGTTGTATATCGTCCGTTCCGTGCGCGAGTTGACTCGCCGACAGACTCTGGCATCGAATCAGGTAAAGAGCACGGTAGCTGCACTCCAGCCACGTCGGTCTGCTCCTCGCCGCGTTCCACCGATGAGGTGGACACTGTCGCTTTGCAGCCACATATGCAGTCGCAGCCGGCCTCAACGACAGCTGATGAAGATATGCCGGTATTGAAGCGGGCTCTGCAAGCCCCGCCGCTTGTATCGCCCAATCAGCTTATGGAAGAGGCATACCGTCACCATAAGAAGCTGCGTGCAGCCCAGGCTGTACGGTTGCATTCGCCGCCACCGGCGTCGTCCACGACGGGAGACTTAGCGACCGCTCACTCAACACTAGTTGGCGCATTACAGCAAGCGCCCAAGTTCCTTAGCGAGCAGCAGATGAAGCGTACCGATCTCATCCATAACATTATCATGCGTACCGAGGCACCTATGCAGTGTCCATTTAGCCAGCTGCAACAGCAGCCACAGATGACAACTGCTACGTTGCAGCAGCAGCAACAACCGGTGACATCATCCTCACCTTCGCCTCCACCGAGCACCGCAATCTCGGCGAGCGAATCGCCCCTTAATTTATCGACAAAGATGGTTAAGATGGAGTCGTAGGACCTCTATCTTGAAGGTTGAAGAACGTACTCAAGAAAAGCCGGGGACTACCTAAGAAAGCTTGCTAAAATAGGACGCAGGCAAGCAAATAAGCATGTTCAAGTCGGCAGCTCTCGATGTTGGTGATTAGGAATGGACACGGCAACGGGGCGTGTGAAGCAGCTCAGAGCTGAGAAGCTAGCAAGACTGCAAGAAAGTGCTAGTGGGTAAATGCTGCTCAACTGCAATCTAAGTCAGCTATACGAAACAGAAACAGGAGTACGCGGGGCGTTTGACCCTGCTTAGTGTGCGCTAGGATAACGAGGGTATGGGAGAAGAACAACCTCGAGGTAGTACCGATGCGTGTAGTGAGATAAAAACGACCAGGGAAAAAATGATCAATCCGTTGTAACAAAATACGTAGAGTGTGACGATGGCGTACTACCCCCCTCCCAAAGTGATCTACAATTGTCATCGTCAACAACAGCAACATGGGTAATAAGCTGTGCGCATATGGCAAACGCATAGCTTTTCGCCGCAAGAGGGTGAAAAGTGACTCTGCCCTCGATGTTGTGTCATCCTGTATTCTTTTCCAGTTCTCCTGTTGATCCCGGTTAAAACCAATCACCCCAAGTATTACTACACTTGTATGATCAAATTCTATCATCATTATTATTATTACTATTACTTGTAAAATGAAAACCACTATTTGTAAAGCGAGAGGGGATAAGAAGCTAAAAGGCTAGTTATAAAGTGCAATGTGACCAGAGTCGCGCGCTTAGGACGTCTCGGACTGTGGAACAGGCCACTCCCTTTACCAACAACACGTCACTGTGATACTATCCTACCTATAAAAGAAAAAAAAATATATATATATATACATACATATATATATATATATATATATATATATATATACACACACACACCTATAAAATACTTATTCACCATAACATTATGATAATAAATGTGACAATGATATATATGATTATACCCGTATACATTATATTTTGTCGTAGTAGAAACGAACATTGACAATGGTCAACGTTCGTGGATTCGTCAACGTGGTTTGTTAACGTCGGCGTCTATGATTCATCAACCATATCCTAATCCCCACTTGATGACGAGAGGAAGACAATGACGATGATACATACACACGTGTTTGTGGGTGTCCGCAGCTTTGGCAAATTATTTCTGATTCTCACAGCTCGACGTCCAAGTTCTAAGTTGGACAGGAGCGCTAATAACTCCTTTACGAAGAAAGCAACCCAACACTTGAATTCGACTGTGCCGGCGTCAATCGCGTAATAAAGGAACAAACATGTGCACACAATTAGTGGAAGGCTAAAAAACAGGTCCTGAGCCCCCTGAGCGTCTGCGGCTGGCCCGACAATAATGCGCAAAGGAATATCATCACCCTCACTATATACGACAGAAACAAGTAGTTAATTAAGAAATATCTAAGGACTATTATTTATCAAGCAACAAATGTGTATCTAGAGCAAACAACAATAACAACCGTTGGTTAGATGAAATAATAAAGAAAATAATGGGGGTTTGTGAATTTGACATTATTATATTTGAAATAACAATAATTATATTGAGGAGTATTTTACTATTGTATATCTCTCCCCGATATGTAGACTGAAAGAGTGTTTGGCCAGCGCGCTAACCATTGCCATGCGCGCTTATGTAAAGTGTCACGGCCAGATAATAATCAGTGGCGGGAACATAGGCCCCACTGCTGCTGCTGCTGCTGCGGCAAAAACGAAAAAAACATGAGGCGAAGGCGAAAGCTGCTAACAAAAAACCAATCCACAATGCCGGATGGAGGAATACAAAGTACGAGTCCATTTAGATTGGACATCAAGAATAGCCGAAAGCTAGCAATGTTAGTTACAGATAGCCCGTCGTCTCAATGTATTGTACCATATACCTATATATATATATATACATATATATATATATAAGCAAGCAGGTCATCTCATGCGTGTATCATAATACCTTCGCTTCCTTAAAAACTTCGCCTGTATATACATTTCCCATGAATGGAGAAAAGACGATTAATTGAACTAAGGAGAGGAAAAATGCAAAAAAACCCTAAATAAAAATAATAAAAAAATGGATATCAAATAAAATTGAGCTGTTTCTTTCTAGTTGGATAGGGGTGTCTCAGCGGAATCGCGTTCGATTATAAACGTTTTTATTACATCTTAGATTTACACTGCTAACCGCAGTTGTATATATATATATATATATATATATATAGAAAAAAAAATATATGTTCTATTGATAGTACTACGTTAGAAGCTGAGATTCAAGAACGGAAGCAAAAATATGCCACCTGCAGGGGATGAGAATAGCTGAAAACAACACAGTTTTGTTGTAGCGGATTATTCACTGTTAAATGCTAGAATATTACTGGTCGCTAGTGATAGCTCATGGGGGTCTAATAAAAGTAAAATAAATTACTGCTAAAGCGCAGCTAGCGATTTCATATAATATATTATACCCTCAAAATATCTCACAGTGTAAAACGTGTTTTTATTTAGGGTGCAAATTGTACCACGAGAGAATACCCCTATTTCTGTCGATACTTGCTACAAACCAGTAGCAAGGTCAAGGACAAAGCTCAAGATCAGCTTGGTTGAAGTCGTCGTGATGGTGAAAGGCGACAGAAAGCTAACCCGGAATGGGAATATATAATACTATAACGACGGCAGTAGCATTTGGCAGCCATCTCGTTGCGTAAACGCTCATTTTCCGTTCATTCAAACTGAACCAGCGAATGCGACGGCGAACCAGCTGATCCGACTCGGACGGTGAGGGTTGTTCTTTACCCCAGCGACGTGGAGCCTGTACAGCTGTAACATCGTGCGGTACGCGCACAAATGGTGTACCTATGCGTGTGCAAGCCAATGGTGTATCGCGACTATTATACGCGTGTACCAGACATACTACTACACATTTTACATTTCTGAACTGGAGGACGGAAGCGGGTGGGTCGGTAAGGGCCACAGGCGGCGGGAAATTCTGCTTCTAGCAGAATAACGTTTGAGATAGACATACATCTGTTCCGTCATGATCCGGTGGGCCCTATGTACATATACAGCGCACATACAGCCACCGATTAAAAGATCCGTCGCGCGTGTTGGCTAGCGAACAATCAATACTTCTGCCTGCGCGGCTGGCGCAGACACATATTGGTATTTATGAGACCTGGTAACTGTCATTTTTCTCTTGTGACCGTGGTGCAGGACGCGCTCTGTCAGTTTGAGTGGCGCGTTAGAGTTATGCAGGACAGACGTTGACTACATAGCTGGTCGTAAGGCTAGAATCCGCAGCACCAAATTACTATTAGGCTAATCAAGGTAACAACTTTCTTCACCAGGAACCCCTTAAGGGGACAGATTTTCTTCGAATAACCGTTGAAGTATTAAATCAAACGGCATAGAACGACTACAGTCTTAGGTTTATGTGCAGTTTTAGCTTTTTGTGAGCATAATATATCGATTATTAGGCGTACTTTTCTCTATATCCGTAACTTGATGAACAAAAAATTCGCCATTCGAATCGGCATCCTTTCGCCTCGTGATCTAGCCAGCACGACGGAAACGTTTCCGACCGTATCTGCTTGTCGTTTGTGAACGACACAAATGATAATTATAGAAAGTAGTGCAGTAACGTATATAAGTTTGGCGTGTGTGTATTTTTCGTGAACGCGTTCCGCGTGCAGTACCTGGTTCTTAGTTGTGGCGCTGGTTGTCATACCGCTATTATTATTATGATCTAGTAGTAAACATGACATCGTTAATCCGGTTAGCTATTAGGATTGCTTATCGTCGGCGTAAATTTTCACGTGTTCTTGTTCTTTGCAGCTCTGGAAGGAAAAGGCGGGTAATGGGATGAGGATCGATGGTTGCGACTAGCTGAAGTGAGAAGTAGCATTTTAGCGTACTACTATTACCGATTGTAAGGCTTCAATCGCAGTGACCTACAAGCCTATAAGCAAGCTTGATATACGAAGAATTTCCGTGTTGGCAAATGAAGAGGACACAAATGTCGTTTCGGACCAAGGTTCAATGGAAAGAGTTGTACGTTAATGATACGCTTGTAGTTTGTTTCCAAAGCTTCGATGGCCGACAAAGGCGTAGCCGTCAGTAACAAATGTGGAGGCAGGAAAGAGAATATGTAAACGTCGATAGTTTCGCTCTTTTAGAGAAATTTCCGCGGTATTCGTACTTTATGGTATGCCAACACGATTGCTCAACACATACGATACATATATACCCATAAGGGACGTTACGATCTTTCAAAGAGACGGAAGTGAGGGGGAGGGGGCCTTCGAAGATGCTCACCAGCTGATTCAGTCTCAAGAGTCATTTGGGGCTTTGGCAGGTGGAGGAATCACACAAAACTGCTCTTTTAAACGCGACGACGACTGTGGAAAAAATATGCTTGTTTAATTGAGTTGGTTTGGAATGCTCACCCAATTTGACGAAACGCTCACAGTAAATATAGCGCCATCATTATGTACAGTTGGAAACAAAGTCGCCATAATCGTCACGTGCATACACTAATCGGAGAAAGTTCTGTTGGGGGGTAACTACTGGGGGGTTTGGTAACTACTGTATCTAGAATGAACTTTAAAAAGCTGTTTTTAGAGAGGATGAAAATTGCATTGGGGGATCGGTAGTTACACTTGGACGTGTTATTGTCATTTTTAAGTTACGTATTATCAGCAAGTGGTTGGGCCTTTAGAACTAAAGGCAACAACAGCTGAGTCGTAATCATTGTCACTCGTTGCAACATTGTATACATGTGGAGGATTCGTCACGCAATATCACTACAGATCGAACTCAAATTAGCGGTCCGGTTAGATAATTTACCACAGTATTAGGTTTAGATCTATATGGAGGCGAGGAGGAGGGAAAAGAACGCCTTTAAACTATTGGAAATCTCAAGGAAACCATTAGGCAACCTGCAATTGTCCTGAAACCGGGACAGATCGCCGGGTTTGTCATCTTGTGTCCATTTACAACACCGCAACTTGGGACATAGTTACTCGTAATATTGCACAATAATTTTGACTCTGGTTAACCTATAGGTCAGGTCGACGATCGCAGCCTGAAGACGAAGCAGGAACTATGACCACTAAATAAAATACATTGGATCGGCAGTCATTTGTCGTTAGGTCGACCGTCAGGATGTGTAATGAAAATTTACCGACCTCAATAGGTTCTTATTGTTAAATTCCTAGAAAATATAACAGTTGCTTATTAATATATTGCAACTCCAGAGCTGTTAGGCGGCCGAAACGATAGCAGCGCATACGGTCATCATGACATTTCATTCAAAATTAATAAATATGAGTTGACTGATTGATCTCAGCGTTTCTGTTGCCTAGAACGTAACAATTATTAAATGCAATAGAGAATATTACAATGTTATTGTACAGGATTAAGGAATGGAGACAATGATTATCGCTGGGGCAATTACACCTATGGTTGTAGTTTACGTTCGCTACGATCAGGGGGATTATGGTGTGACAAAGGTCCGAAATCTAAACTGGAGTTTAATATTGAAAAATAATCGATAAAGCAACTAGAAAGAGAAGAAAAAAAAACAGAGAAAAAAATCAGTTTTTTGCCTTTTTTTTTTTTTTTTTCAAATTTTAAGCGAATTATCTAAAGGGATCGAGCGGTAGATCATCACTGATTTGTCTAGACTTAGCTTTTCTTTTGTTTATCCAGCCCTCTTTTGGTCACCTAATTTTTTACTATTCTACGCTTACCAACAGTTATTGTAGATTGAATTTATTATAAACGTGAGTGCGAGCGGTACATTTGTTGACAG